GGGCTGGAGGAGAGTCCCCAGGACTGGCTCTGTGAGCCTGGGATGATCGGGGTGTGACACCTGTCATGGGGAAGGGTTTGGCTTCCAGCAGGAGCGGGGTGTGGGTCCATCCTGATGGCTCTGGATCCATCCTCAGGGGCTCTGGATCCATCTTAAAGGGGTTCTGGATCCATCCTAACAGGCTCTGGATCCATCCTCAGGGGCTCTGGATCCATCCTGATGGTTTTGGATCCATCCTAACAGGTTCTGGATCCCTTCTGATGGCTCTGGATCCCTCCTGATGGCTCTGGATCCATTCTAATGGGTTCTGGATCCATCCTGATGGCTCTGGATCCATCCCTCAGGGGCTCTGGAATCATCCTCAGGGGCTTTGGATCCATCCTAACAGGTTCTGACTCCCCCCTGACAGGCTCTGGATCGTTCCTGACAAGCTCTGGATCCATTCTCAGGGGCTCTGGATCCCTCCTCGTGATTCTGGATCCATCCTCAGGGGCTATGGATCCCTCCTGATGGGCTCTGGATCCCTCCTGATGGGCTCTGGATCCATCTTAAAGGGGTTCTGGATCCCTCCTGATGGGCTCTGGATCCATCCTCAGGGGCTCTGGATCCATCCTGATGGCTCTGGATCCATCCTCAGGGGCTCTGGATCCATCCTGATGATTTTGGACCCATCCTAATGGGTTCTGGATCCATCCTGATGGCTCTGGATCCATCCTCGGGGGCTCTGGATCCATTCTGATGGTTTTGGACCCATCCTAATGGGTTCTGGATCCCTTCTGATGGCTCTGGATCCATCCTAATGGGTTCTGGATCCATCCTGACAGCTCTGGATCCCTCCTGACAGGCTCTGGATCCATCCTAATGGATTCTGGATCCATCCTATTGGGCTCTGGATCCATCCTCAGGGGCTCTGGATCCTTCCTTACAGGGCCATATCCATCCTCAGGGGCTTTGGATCCATCCTAACAGGTTCTGACTCCCGCCTGACAGGCTCTGGATCGCTCCTGACAGGCTCTGGATCGCTCCTGACAGGCTCTGGATCCCTCCTGACAGGCTCTGGATCCATTCTCAGGGGCTCTGGATCCCTCCTAATGGGCTCTGGATCCATCCTGATGGCTCTGGATCCATCCTAATGGGCTCTGGATCCATTCTGATGGCTCTGGATCCATCCTAACAGATTCTGGATCCATCCTGACAGGCTCTGGATCCCTCCTGACAGGCTCTGGATCCATACTAATGGATTCTGGATCCATCCTAAAGGGGTTCTGGATCCATCCTCAGGGGCTCTGGATCCCTCCTGATGGCTCTGGATCAATCCTAAAGGGGTTCTGGATTCCTTCTGATGGCTTTGGATCCATCCTAACAGGTTCTAACTCCCCCCTGACAGGCTCTGGATCCCCCCTGACAGGCTCTGGATCCATCCTCAGGGGCTCTGGATCCCTCCTGATGATTCTGGATCCATCCTATTGGGTTCTGAATCCCTCCTAATGGGCTCTGGATCCATCCTGATGGCTCTGGATCCATCCTAACGGGTTCTGGATTCCTTCTGATGGCTTTGGATCCATCCTAACA